GCATTAAGCGAAACAAAACTTTACTCAACTCATTCTTCTTGCTTCCTCTACTTCCGTACCATTGATTCATTAATGTTGAATTCTCTCACAGCTCTTCTATTCCCATGTTCTACTGCGTGACTGATAGAGTTTGAAATCCGCTTCGTAAGCATATCTCTTAACAGCTTCCATTTTGGGGTCCTTATGAACATAGAATACGGTAATATTATGTTGAAGCACGGCTCCGAGAGGCTCCTGACTGCGGTAGCCATGTTACTCCGACAATCCGTCAAGCGGTGCGGCTTCGCAGCTTACCAAAGTCGTACTAAAACATTTTGACAGATTATTGAGCATCGTGTACCATATAAAATCACTTTGTGATCAGTAAGCACAACCAGAACTGATACATAAGGCGTACTTTTGAGAAAATTTAATGATTTCAAGTGCGCCTTATTGTCAAAAAATACGGTACTAAAAAACTCTTGTGCTTTAAGTGCTTCATTGAGCTGAAATTTAAACTTAAAATATCTCAAGATATATAAAATAAAAAGAAAGTCAGAATTAAAAATGCTTCAAAGCCTTCGAACTGAACATCTTATCATGGGTCATGGGCATCTGAGAAGTTCCGCCCTTTGCTATCTATGATTAATTTAGGCCACGATATGGGCATGATGTGTGTCTGTTGTTGACCACACAGAGACTTTCAGAGTTGAGGAGACGCACTGGTGCGACCTAGGATTTTTTTGGTAGAACATTGGCACATTGGTGGAATGTGCAGCTGTTGTTGCGTGCTTTTGGATTGTTGTGGCAATTGCCTACGTCATTTCCTCTTTCTGCGCATCTGTGCAGAGACACGTGTGACACACAAATCGATCGAACAGTGCAGCACGGATTCGGTGCTGCGACGCTTCAGCGGCTCATTCAGCTAATCTAAGCAGCACCTTCATAATTGGTTTAGGCCACGAAATGGTCAAGTTGTCTGCTGTTGGCCAAACAGAGACTTTGAGAGTTGCAGAAACTTTTTTTTAAAAAACTGGAATGGCTGGTCGCACCAGTGCGACCTATGATTTTGTTTTTATTCGCACCATTGAGAATTTAGGTCCCATTTGCGACAAAATTGGTTGCACTCTAGAGCCCTGCTCTGGTAAGATGTTGGGATCGGCCGTATCACATGCTGCAGTGAGGTCTAACAGGACAGAGGCCAAAGAATCATTCATTAGTGCCATTTTGTGTTATAATGAATCTCTGCAAATGCTCACATAGCTCTTTTACAGCAACTTGTTATTTATGTATTTTTTTAAAGGACGATGACACTTATCCATAAGTAGCTAAGGCTTTGAGAATGGGACTTTTATGAGTTTATTTGCAGCCATCTTAAACGCCTGTGATAAATAAAAAATATAATCAATTTATCATAACCCCCCCAAAAACAACAACAACAACAACAACAAAAACAAAACAGAGCAAAACAAAAAAAACCCAAACTAAAGCAATAATTAATGGCAAGACTTATGTGAACAGGTCCAACAAACAGCAATTACTGAGGTTATAGCTGAGGGAGATCAATGAGAGAGAAGCAGTCTAGAAATATATCCGAAGTTAATAAATATGGGAAGGCTGTGATTAATTATTTTTTATAATAAGTAGCATTTTATTTATAAAGATATTCACGAATTTATTTCAAAAGTAACACAAGGCTTAAGAGAGCTCTCAGGCTTTGCCAGCAAGGTACAGTGTTGAAAAGAAATGTGTGACTATTTCTTATTTTTCCACCTGAATATTAATGATTACTTTATTATTTTTTTCAGACAACAGTCTTCCACATTGCTGGAAAGCCACTTCCTTTTTAGGATGTTCCTTCTAAACTGTATGAAGGAGAATCCTTGATGCAGTCCCCTCTAAGCTGCGCGCGTGTGCATTTGCGCACTGCTGGCACGGTCTCTGCGCACAGAAAATCTGCGTTGCGCACGAAAAAAAAATCTAACCTGAATTGAAATTAAAATTAAAACTTTATCAATTCAGTTTTGCAGTGTTAGTCAGTAAGTGACTGGCTGCTCCTGTATGGGATTAGAGCGATGCCACCTTTCCCATAGTCCAGCCAATGATGTGATTCACATTCGTATATACGCAGCTAATCAACGTGGTTGACAGGCTATGACAGCGTTCTTATGTGCCGACACCGG